TTTTTTCGTTTTTCTTTTCTTTGTCTCTCCTCCTCTCTCTCTCTCTCTCTCGATGCAAGCACATATTTCTGTTTTTGCGCATAGATCCCGTTACTGACGTCAGTGTCGTGTTTTTGCCGCGTTCCTGAGTAAAGCGGGCGTGGAGTAGGCAGGCCAAAGAGGAAAAGAAAAAAAGAAGAGGGGTGGTGGGGGTCGCAGCTAGCGAGGAAAGGAAGAACGAAAAGTAAAGGGGTGGGTGGGTCAGGCACAGCAGAAGATTAGGCGACAGGGGTCTTCTTTACTCACGTGCACTTTTTTTTTCTACTCTCTCCCTCTTTCTCCAAAACATACATATACACACAGGTCGCCGCAGGAAACATACGGCAGCGGCTCTCATTGATGTTAACGACGACGACGACGACGACGACGATGGCGGCCTCGCGGGCGTGCACGTGTCGGCTTCTGCTGCTCCTGCTTGTCGTTACGGCTTCCATCGTCGCCGTGCCGTCGCAGGCGCGCCTCGAGGACCTGGGCACCGACGCCCTGGAGGAAGTGGTGGAGCTGACTGGCGACGGCTTTGACGCCCACGTCTTTCCGAGCGAGGGGAAGCCGCCGTTGCGGCCGTGGTTTATTTTATTTTACGCCCCGTGGTGCGCCCACTGCAAGGTGCTCCTGCCACAGTTTGCCAACTCCAGCCGGCTGCTGCGCCAGAGCGGGGTGCCGCACGCGCGGTTCGCCGTGGTGAACGCGGTGAAGCACCGCGAGCTCGCCACCCGCTTTGACGTCCACGAGTACCCCACGTTCATTTACACGACAGGCAAGCAGGGCCGCTGGCATCGTTTCCACGGCGGCTACAGCATGGAAAACTTCGTGCAGTTTGGCGTCTACCTGCAGCGCTCTGTGGATGCGGGCTCCTTTGCCGACATCGTCTCCGACCCGCTGCAATTTCGCCAGGTGGAGACGGAGATGGCGGATGGGCGGGTGCCGATGTTCGTGTACGTGCCGGCGAAGGGCACACCGGCCGCGGGCACGCGACAGGCGGAGGCTCGCGACGCCCCGTGGAACGCCGCCGTCGACGCGGTCGCCTCGTTGGGCAACATCCGCTTCGGCGTCGTCTACGGGGATGACGTGCCGAATGACTGGGAGGCGCGCGGCAGCGCGACGTACGCCGCCGTCGTTGAGGCGGGGCGTCGCTGCAAAGGCACCGGCCCCGGCGGGGAGGTGTTTCTCGCCGCCAGCGACGCGTACCGGCGGCCGCAGTGCTACGAGGAGGGCCCGTGGCTCGTGGACCCCGGCAAGGGCGCGGGGGCCGCGCAGGGGGCGGGGGAGTACGCGCTGCACCCGGCCTTCGAGGCCTTCGTCACGCGTCACGGCTTCCGCGCCGTGGAGGAGATGACGCCGGGGCTCTTCTCGGTGATCTCCGGCCGCAACCACCACTACGTGGGCCTCGTCGTCACCGACGGCCCGCTGGCGCAGAACGACACCACGATGATGCCTGTCCTGCGGGCGGTGGTGCAGGCGCGCAACGAGGCCCGCGCCGCCGCGGCGGAGGGTCACGAGCCGCTTCGCCACATTTCGCTGGCGCACGCCGACGGCCGCTCCACCTCCGTCTGGCGCATGCGCTACCACATTGAGCCGGAGGAGCTCCCCGCGGTGGTCGTGGTTGACCCGCGGCGGGACAAGGTGTACCGCCTGCGACGCCACGCCCCCCGCTTCGAGGCCATCAAGGCGCAGCTGCCGTGGCGGCTGGGGGGCGAGCAGCAGGAGATCCTCGCCGCCTTCCTGGACGACGTCGAGAAGGGCAAGGCGACGGGGGAGAAGATGACGCTGATCGGCGACCTGGCGGAGTACGTGCTGCACCTGCCTGGGATGGAGTTCGTGTACGAGACCCTCGGCTACGAGGACGCGCTCCTGGTCACCATGGTGTTCGCCTTCGGCTTCTTCTGCTTCCTGCTCTTCCTGGCGCTCGTGGTGGAGCCAATCATGGAGAAGCGTATGGCCTCCCACGCAAAGACAGACTGAGCGAAGCGGAAGTGTGCATGCGTGTTGGCGTGTGCTGGGGGTGACTGAAGGCGGCGGGCGCGCGCGGCTCTCTGCGTGCCTGGCCGCCGTGTGTGCGGAGTAGGTAGGAAAGAAGGAAGTAAAGAGGGAAGGAAGGGAGAATAGCAGCTGCGGCGGTATGGCGGGCAAACGTAACAAGTGTCGCTTTTTCTATTTTCTCTCTTTTTTTTTTTTCGTTGGCCGCGTGTTCCCCGCCGGCGCTTGCCGCGAAGAGAAGTAATTTAATATAAATATAACGCAGCATCGAACAGAGGCGGCGGCGGCGGCGGCGGCGCTGGAGCGGGTGACGGGCACGCGCCACTGCGTGGGAGCAGAGGGGAGGCGTGAGACGCGGAAGTCCCCCGCACGTGAAGCTTCGTTTTTTTTTTTTCTTGTTTCACCTGTTTATTACTATTGTTGTTCTTTTTGCCTTCTTCCCTCCTCTTTTTTTTTGTTTTGTTCTTAACGTCCCGCCCTTCGCTTCTTTGGGGCCCCGCGGCCGCCTGCGTCCGCGTCGCGTCTCTCCGCCAACGCCGCGCGCGCTGTCGCCCCAAACACGCACACGCACGCGCCGGCCAACGGCTCCAACTCGAAAGGAAAAAATAAAGTAAAAAAAAAAAGGGACGGCCAGGGAGGCGGCGGCGCCTCTTCGCGCGTCGACTCACTTCGGACACCTTCACGGAGCTGCGGCGACCTTCGAGGTTGTTCCGCCTCCCCCCCCTTCTCGACGCATTGGCCTCGACTGCGCCGCACCCGGGAGGTCCAGCCACGCACGATTCTCCCACGCGGTCACTTGGGCATGCTGCGCCGCTCGTGGCTGCTGTTTTGCGTTCCGCCCCTCTCAGCCGTGTACGGGAGCAACTTCTCCGTCTCGGGCCGTGTCTGGCGTCGCATTAGCGAGAAGAACGCGGAGGAGGGCTTTTCCAACGACCAGCGCTTCCTGCGCCTGGCGATTGACTCCGGCGGCTGCCACGGCTACAAGTACAACTTCTCCCTCGAGGAGAACGCCGCGCTCGTGCCGGAGGAGGACGTTGTCGTCGCCGAGACGGATGTGGCGCCCGCTGGCGCGGTGGACGGGAGCGGGGCGCAGCCGCCCCCCCGCGTCGTCGTCGACAAGCACTCGCTGGCAAAGCTGCAGGCGGCCGTGATTGACTTTCACTCCGAACTCAAAGGGGCGGCCTTCGTGGTCGTCGGCAACGAGCTGGTAGACGAATCCTGCGCCTGCGCCATGTCCTTCTCGATCAAAAAGAGACAGCCGCAACGCAGCTGAGGCAAGTATCTATCCCTATATCTATCTCTTTATATATATATATGTGCCTTGTGTGCGTGCATGCGCCAGTCAGTGTGTGCCGGTGCGTGTCGTTGATTTGACACATCCACTTATTTTACTTCTCTTTTCTTCCTCCCCTTTCTGCGTGTGTGCGTGTGTGTGCGCGTGCTTCGGGCAGTGGCCGTTTCGAATGACCTGCGGTGCGGACTATGACTGCCGCCAGCTGCCGGAGGAGCAGCCGTACCGCATCATGCGGCTGAATCGTAGACCGGCCGTTGGTCCCTCCCATCAGGGGGCCTGCGGTGCCGCGGAGGAGTGCGGGGGCCCGCACACGCGGAGCAGCCGCAGCAGTGAAAGTCGATCCGCCCCGTCGCTGCAGGTGTACGTGGCGCCCGCGTCGGAGACAGACGCGCCTGCTTTTCCTTCCACACCGCCGCACGTGGGCGGCGATGCCGCCGTGCCGAGCCAGCGGCTCCACCTGCGCGGCGCAAGCACCACGCGGGCCGTCTCTTGCCACCTCGAGGGCGGCGCCGCGCTCGTCACCGACGAAGCGCGTCTTTTGTTTGCGGGGCGGGGACCGGCGCCGGGCGGCGCCTGCACGGCGATGCAGCAGCACGTGCAGCTCTTCCGCGACCCCACGGCGACGGCCACCCCGCCGTTTGGCGACACGGCATCGACGGCAGCAGCCGCCGCCGCCGCCGCAGGCCCCGCGCACTGCCGGCGGGCTCGGCTCGAGATGCTGCGCGGCAGCGGGCCGCTCTGGTGAGTGACCGGGCCGTCGCCGCGCGTGCACGCGCCACCGCCAGGCGCCCATAGAACCACCCACCGCACGGAGGCCGCGGGGGGGGGGGGGGAGAGGCGCCCTCGACGTCATTCTCTCGGCGTTGTTCCCCGCCCTGCGCCCGAAGCCGCGGCGGCGTTGCTGCACGCCTGGTCTCTTTTTCTCTTTCTCGCTCCCTCCCTTTTTCTCCTCAGTGCAAGTCAACGGAGAGGAACACACCACCTCTTTGCAGGGGAGAAAAAGAAGAAAACAAACACAGGCAAGAATTCTTCTTCTTTTCTCTCTATCGCAATCTTGCGAAGTGTGCCGGCCGCTGGGGATTGCGAGAGGGGGGGGGGCCAGACAAAAACTCTGGCCCAGGAGAGACAGGCAAATACACACACACACACACGTATATACACATAAGTACATATATACCCACACGTAGGCCTGCAATGGCGAGTAGCAGCGATCCGTTCGGGTCAACCGGGCCACCGGCGTCCCCGCCGCGCCCCGCTGGCGGGCTGCTGCAGCGCATCCTCACGCACCACTCCCGCACCACGTCGGCGAAGGACGAAGCCGCGCTGCAGCAGAGCCCCACCAACGCGGTCTCGACGGATGACGCCTCCGCGTTTGACGTGAGCGGGGGCCGTCTTTCCAAGACGTTTTCCTCCGGCTTCTTTCAGCACAAGCCCGTCAACGGGGCGAGGCTGCTGCAGCGCTTCAAGCAGATGTTGACCCCCTCACACGGCGGCCAGGGGACGCCGGACGAGGAGGCGACGCGACACGAGCCGTACCAAGACAGCTGCTCCGACGCGGCGCAGGTGGAGGAGCTGGAGGCGGCGGCGGCGGCGGCGGCGGCGGCGGGCGGCAGCAGCGACATCTTCAACGACATCACAGGCGGGATGGATGACGCCGCAGCGGCAGCAGCAGCAGCAGCAGCAGCAGCAGCGGCGGCGGAGGCGGAGAGCGGCGCTGAGGAGTACTACTACTACCAGTACACAACCGCGGACGGCGAGGTCTACGAGGTCGACCCCGCCGTGCTGGAGCGCGAGGCGGCGCAGCAGCCGCAGGGCGCCGAGGCCCACACCACGCAGCACAACGATGAGGCGGGGGCGGGCGCCGAGGAGCACCTCGGCGACCAGGTGCGCCTGAAGGGGAAGGTAGCCAAGGCCCTCGCCAGCGAGGAGGCGAAGGCGCGGAGAGAGCTGCAGGATGACTGCATGATCGTCCTGACAGACATTGGCCGCACGTACAAGGGTCTGGCGCGCGTCGCCGCGGCCGAGGCGAGGGGGTTGAAGGCGCTGCGGCACGCCATGAAGCAGCTGGAGAAGGAGGCGGTGAAGGCGGCGGGGGCGGTGGAGGCCGAGTGGAAGAAGGAGCACGGCGAGCTGCGGCGCCAGCTCCGTGCCGGGGCGGAGTCAGTGCGGCGGCACTGCAAGCGGGCGGAGCATTTCTCCTTCAGCTGAGCCGCCCACACCGCACACACACACACACACAAAAGCGAGAGATGTAAACGCTTGCAGCGCGTGCCCTGGCGCACTGCGCAGGAAAAGAAACGCACGCCGTGGTATGTACTTATGCGCGCCCATCGGCACAAATATGGCGTCGTTCCCCCTCTTCACGCCGGAACACGCCCGCGCACACCGACAAAGGCAAGGAAGCAAACAAATATTTATTATTGACGGGCAATTCCGAAGAACGGGCGCAAGATGATGGGGTTGGCAGGCCGGAAAAGAGGCGAGGCGAAGGAAACAGAGTAAGCGGTTGCGGTTTTTGTTGTTGCCGTTGTTTTCTTTTGTTCCTCTTCTTCCTCCTTTCCTCTTCTTTTGGCTGCCGGCTCCCTTGTCATCCGTCTTCCTCTCACTCCCTGCAGCTCGAACCAGGCACAGTGTGTGTTTTTTTTCTGGCTAGTTTTTACGCCTGCCCCGATGCACTCGCCCGCTGTCCGTGCCTGTTCGTGTGTGCGTGCAAGGATGTATCTTTCGCGCGCGCCGCTTTCTCCTCCTCTCTCTCTCTCGCTCTCTTTGTTTTTTTTTTTCCTTATTTCCCTTCTTTCAATACGAAATTCCTTGCTGTGCGTGGTGCCAGCGGTGGGAGGACACGCGCGTGCGTTGATGCATTAGTCTGCGCTTGTTTGTTTGTTTGTTTTGATTTAGTCGCCGTGGATGCCGGGGTGGGGGGGGAAGTTTGGTTTGCCGCCCTCCTCCTCCTCCTCCTCCTCCCCCCCGTTACCCGCCGCACGCCGACGCAGGCACAAAACCTTGTCGTATTTTGCACCTTTTTTTTTTTTTCGCCCTCCTCCCGCACGCGCTGCAGCGAGGGAGAAAAGCACCCGCAGGCGGCGCACGTGCCTTCCTGCCCGCCGGCCTCTCGTCGTGGTGATGGTCGTGGCGGCCGCCTCCTCCCCGCCGCGTGCGTGCGCCCCCCTTCCGCTGGGGCCGCAGTGTTTGTTGTTCTGCTTTGGCTTGGGGCTTTTATTTCCTCTTTTTTTTTTTTTTGCTTTTTTCTTCCTCTTCTGCTGCCCAACCGCGGCGGCGGCGGCGGCGGCGTGGGGTGTGTGATAGTCACCGCACCTCTGCGCACTCGCGAGAGCAAACCGCAGAGCAGCAAACACACACAAACGCAAAGGGAAGCCAACCGGGAGGCGGAAGCAGCAACGAGGCGGGTGCGATGTCTGTCAGCTTCTCCACACTTGTGCAGCGGGCGCGGCCGGCGTCCAACCACGCGACGACGCAGGCGCTACGGGACGTGATTGCGAAAATCCCCCCCACAAACCTCAGCACCGTCGGGAAGGGCGTGCGGGTGGCGTGCGAGGAGAACCCCCTCGCGCCCGTCGCCACCGTCGGGGTGTGGCTTGACGCGGGCACGCGCCACGAGCCGGCGCAGTACGCAGGGACGGCGCGCGTGCTGCAAAAGTGCGGGCTGCTCGGGACGACGAACCAGACGGGCCCGCAGATTGCCAAGGCGCTCGATGAGCTCGGCGGCCAACTCACTGTGCAGGTGGGCCGCGAGCAGACCCAGCTGTACATGCGGGTGGCGAGGCAGAACGCGGAGCGGGCCGTTGGGCTTCTTGCCGACGTGGTGCGAAACGCCCGCTGCACCGACGCCGACCTCCAGGCCGCGAAGCAGGCCGTGCTGCAGGAGCAGCACGAGTTTGAGCAGCGCCCGGACGACATCTGCATGGACAACCTATACCGCTGCGCCTACGATAGCACCTCCCACGGCCTTGGCACCCCGCTGTACGGCACGGAGGCCGGCGTCGCACGGGTGACGGCGGAGCAGCTCAATGCGTACCGCGCCAGCGTGCTCCACGCCAACCGCGTGGTTGTCGTTGGCAGCGGCGCTGTGGACCACACCGCCCTGGAGCGAGCGGCCAACAGCCACTTTGGCGACCTCGCCGCGGCCCCCGCAAAGGCGTCCCCTCTCCCCGAGGCGCGCTTCATCGGCGGCGAGTACAAGCTGTGGAACCTGCGCTACAAGACCGTCCACATCGCCTGGGGCTTCGAGACGTGCGGGGCGGCCTGCGAGGACTCCGTGCCGCTGGCCCTCGCGTGTGAGATTCCCGGCCCGTTCCACCGCTCGCAGCACGAGTTGGGCCAGCACGCGATGCACCGTGTGCTGAAGACGTTCTGCTCCCTCGACCACAGCACCCCGACAAACACGCACTTCAACGAGAAGTGCATCGAGGTTGCCAATCCGTTCCTGCAGCAGTACAAGGAGACGGGGCTGTGCGGCATGTACGTCGTGGGCCGTCCGGCGCAGAGTGGCCCGGGCGACGCGGGTGCCATGATTGAGGTCTTCCAGTACACCATGGCGGAGTGGTGCCGCATCTGCCAAAAAATGCTGCACCAGCACGAGCTTGAGCAGGCCAAGGTGAACCTCAAGTCGCAGCTCCTCTTCAACATGGACGGCAGCAGCAACTCCGCCGAGGACATCGGCAGGCAGGTCCTGCAGTACGGCCGTCGTATTCCGCTGACGGAGATGTACGCCCGCATCGACGACGTGACCCCGACCAACGTGCAGGAGGTGCTGCAGCACTACTTCTACAGCCGCAAGCCGGTGTACAGCTACCTTGGCTACTGCGCCAACATCCCCGGCTACGACTGGACGCAGCACTGGTCGTACAAGTACTGGTACTAGGCCCTGCCCCTCTGCGCCACGGTGCGCGTGCTGCGTCGCCCCCTCCCTCTTCCTCTCTGCGAGCGTGTGTGTGAGTGTGTGGGTGTGTCTGGCGTGCCGCGGAGGAGGAGGAGGAGGAGGGGGCGCCGCGGGGGAACAGCGCGGCGAGAGGAGGCTGGGGGCGAGGAAGAAAAGAGGTAGGAGGCGGGGGAAGGAAAAAAAGCACGAAGACAAAAAAAAAGTGAGGAAAAACAAAACAAAACAAAAACAAGGGAAACAGCTCAATAATAACAAAGCGGAGGCAAAAAGAACAGAGGGAGAGAGGTGGGTGGCGGGGCAGGGGAAGGAAAAGAAGGAACGGAGTGAGAAGTAGGAGCCCGGGCAGGATCCGGGGGGCGATGTCGTAGGCAATTGAGAGGAAACTAGTGGATCCACCTCCCCCTCCCCCCCCATCAACGCGTGCAGGGGAAGGGACTGTGTGAGTGAAATAGGGGTATATAAAGAAATTATATATATATATATATATACACATGCAAGTGCTGATGTGGACTCTGGTGGTTGCATGCATGCGTGTAGAGTTGGCACGGGCGCAGGTGGCCGAAGGAAATGGGGAATGCCACACGTGCAGCCAACGGAGCTGCCGGACAACACATTACACGCGGATACGTCACGAAAAGCAGGCTTAACGGGATTCGTCGTAGAAGTGGTCACCTGACGCGCTTTTATTGTTATTTATTTTTCTCCTTTTCTTGTAGGTGTGTCAGTTGTGGTTGTGTCTGTCGGGTTGTTTGTTTGGCTCGGTTGCTGTGTGCGTGCCGCCTGTTGGTTGTTGGTCTTCTTTTTTTTTTTTCTACGTCTGGAGTTCGTTTCCGTGAATCGCCCTCCCCCTTCGCTCATTGGAGCTCGTGCGCCCACGCCCCCCCTTTTCCCTGCGTGTGCGTGTGTTTTTCTCTCTCCCTCTCTTGCGTGTGGGGGGTGCCTGCATGCCCTCCCCCCTCCCTCCCTTCCCTTTTTTCTCGCTCGCTTCGTTCACTCCCACACAAGTGTCCGTGGGCGGGCGGTGCGGCCCCAGCACCCCCCACAAGGTAAAAAAAAACAAAGCGAGAGGAACAGAGAGCGGCAGCAGCTGCAAGGAGAAATAGAGTCCGCAAAAGGGCGTGCGTACACACACGCACATAGCTTGTTATATTTATATATTTTTATATATCGTGGCACGAGTTGCACATTTTCTGCGCCGGTTTAGGGCGCGCGCTTGCCTGTGTCTGTGCGTGTGCCTGTGCGTGTGCGTGTGCGTGCCTGTGGGGGGATGCAGTCGTTACTGCCGGTAGTGGCGTTAGTGCGGGAGAGGCCTGGATGCGAGGCTGGCGGCGGCGGCTGCGGTGACGCGGAGGATGGCTTCAGCAGCACCGCGGGCGGGGCCTGCTGGCTTTGCAGGCAACCGGCCGATTACAACCTCGACGGGGAGTACCTTCTCTGCTTCTCTTGCATGCGGCGGATGATTATTTTGTGTGTGCTTCCCCGCGTTGCCACCCCGAGGCGGCGCAGGGACGACGCCCGCCTCATTGCGGAGATCCAGAAACTTCTGAAGAGCCACAGCGTCCCGCCCGCAACGGCACCCCGGGCGAGTGAGGGGAACTTTGCACGGGAGGCGGCGAGGCAGGGCAGGGACAGCTGCGACACCGTCTCCGTGGTGGACCCGCTGCAGGCCCACGCCGTTATGTCTCGCAGCTCCGCCACGTGGCGCCGCACGCAGCAGGGCGGGGAGGCGGGAGGCTCGCGACCGCCCAACAGCGCCGCGCTCTGCGAGGACCCCTGCGGGGCGCGCCAGGTTCGCCGCGCGAGCCCCGTCGTGTGCCGCTTCTGCGGCGCAAACTGCCGTTTCGGGGAGGAGCGGGTGTCAAGGTGCAGGGGGACGAACTTTCTGCATATCCCCTGGACCTGCGACGCGTGCGGCGTCGTTAACGCAGTGGAAAGTGACAAGTGCTACGCTTGCGACGAACCCCTCGTGTGGGCCTGCCCACAGTGCACGGCGGAGCAGAGGAGTTGCCGCAGCGCCGAGGGGATGCGCTGCTGCTGCGTCTGCAATAAGTACAGCACCCCGCAGCAGGTCGTGGAGTCCTACCGTGCGATGGCGGAGCGGCGGGGCGGGGCGGAGGCGGGTCCGGGCGTGGAGTTTGGCGTCAATGACGCCGAGACGATCGCAGAGAAGAGGCGGCAGGAGGCGATTGAAGAGGCGAAGGGGCGTCTCGCAGAGCGTGTGGCGCAGCTGGGGCTTCAGCGGGTGAATGAGCAGGTGTCGGACGGCAACTGCCTCTTCCGCTGCCTGGCGAACCAGCTCTTTGGGTCCCCCGGGGACCACGCGCTGCTGCGCCGCCTCGTCGTGGATTACATGCGGCGGCGGGCCCAGGGCTACAGCGTCCTCTTCGACGGCGAGGCGGAGTGGCAGGAGTACCTGCGCGAGATGCGGCGGGACGGCGTGTGGGGGGACGAGTTGTGCCTCAACGCGGCGGCGCGGTGCTTCCGTGTGAACATTCACGTCATCACGAGCGACGCGGCGCGCTGGCACCTGGTGTTCCAGCACGAGGAGCTGAGGGGCGCGCGCTCCGCCGTGGCCTCCCTCGCGGCGCAGCCGGCGACGCCCGAGAGGAACTCCATCTGCCTCTTTCTTCTCTACATTGCGCCGGTGCACTTCAACGACGTGGTGCTCCACCCCGCGGCGGCCATTGACGTGCGGCGGTGCCTGGAAAAGTCCCTCCGCCACATGCAGAGGGACGAAGACTCGCGGCAGGACGTGGGCGAAGATGTCGCGGGGCCGCCGCCGCCGCCAGCCTCTCCCCCGCCGCACCAGAAGCGGTCCCGCTCCAAGCCATTGGGGGAGGCATGGGCCACACGCGGGGGCGGCTTAGCCTCGTCGCAGGCAAACCGCCACTAACGGCGGCTCCCCGTGACTGCAGCAGCAGCAGCAGCGGCGGCGGCGGCGGCGGGTGTGTGTGTGTGTGTGGGACGGCCGCGGCGGCGCTGCAGGCACAGACGGCAAGAGGGGCGATAGCGAATAGGGAAGCG